GTGGTTGTGCGGCCCTATAACCCCAGTGCTTGGGAGGCTGAAAACAGGAGGATCACTACGAGACTGCGAGTCTGATCTGTGTAGTGAGACCCTGTAGACCCTGTACTAAACACATTAAAAACAAACAACAACAAACAAGGCGACAGGAAATTAACAACGGCTGTTCCATCACACACTGTTAACCCCTCAGGAACTGCACAGACCATAATAGGCATGCAAAACAGATGACAATATAAGCACTGACTGTTCCTTTCAAGGAACTAATAGAAAACGGTAGTACAATTATCTTAGCTATCTTGTGTGTGTATACATGCTTTTTCTCCCTTCCAATTTCTGAGAAGCAGATCTTATTTCAAATACAGAAGTACAGCATTACAACTTATCTTAAGCTCTAAAATACAAAAAAAAAATAGATTAGGCTGAAAAGACTGAGGGGGGCCAGGGAGATGGTTCAGCGGAATAAGTGCTTCCCTGGCAAGCGCAAGGACCTGAGTTCAATCCCCGGTTCCACCGGGGAAGAAAAGGAAGGAAGGAAGGAAGGAAGGAAGGAAGGAAGGAAGGAAGGAAGGAAGGAAGGGACTTGAGATGTATGCAATATCAAGCGCTCTTGTTCACAGAGCTTTGTTCCAGAGCGCATGTGCATGTGGGTGTAAATCTGTGGCAGCACATGTGCTAAGCGTGTAAGTAGCAGCAATGCTGAGCAGAGCATCAAGGTAGGAAATGAACCTGATACATCAGGCTCGCCCAAAGGCAAGCTGGAAGATGTACAACCGCTGAAATCATTGTAAATCTCAGCAGTGACAGGTCTTCCAGCAACCCTAATAACAGCGACCCAGGGAGTGAATCACAGAGACCAACTAGCGAATCAACAGAGTATTCTGATTACACTAGGTTTTTTGGTTTTGTTTTGTTTTGTTTTGTTTTGTCCTGGGAATCAAACTGGGGACCTTGCATTTTCCAGGCAGATGCTGTGCAGCTGAGCTACATCCCTGGTCCTTACACTACTTTTTAGTCCTGATTCTACTAGCAAATAAGCCGAACTCCACATGGGGGCTCCAATGCTCTGGCGTTTATGGCAAAGAGCTGAAGTCATGCCAGCAGCAGGACTCTGAAGTCAGAGGCATACAAGGAAGTTTTAACAGGAAAGAACCACCAAGCAACCAAATTTCAAAGAAATAAGGCACTTCACAGTTAGACTAGTAATGTGTACACTTTTGCAAAATTAGGGAAGGGACACTAACATCTAACATGATTGCAAGCTCAGCACCAAAGCATGGGTATAGCTAACATTGCAGCGAATAGCTTTTTTTTTTTTTTTCTTTTCCCAATTTATTTGTTTGGTACAGGGTCTCTATGCAGCTTGAACTCATAGTGAGCCTCCTGTCTCAGCCTCCCCAGGGCTGAGATTATAGGCACGTGCCACCACACCTGGTTTTGGTGGCCGGTGGATCGGCGCAGGGGCCCACACAACATGTGGCACCAGGGATAGAACTCGGGTCCATGCGCTCGCCAGGCAGGCGCTTGTACCGCTGCTCTCGCCAGCCCGCCAATAGCTTTCTTGACACGTATGTTATGTATCAAATTCTGATAAAATTTTCTTATAAATATGAAAAATGATTATTTGGACCTGCCAAAAATACTGATATTTTTGTTTCGTCTTTTAGAGCAATTTCTCATAATACAAGTATTGAATCTCAGTCTGTCTTCCACATTTTTCACAAAACAAAGACATAATTGTGTGTCTGTTTACTCAATAAAGACAAAACCCTGAGCAAGAAGCTGCCTGTTGCCTTCTACGCGTCGTGTTTTGGTGAGACCGGCACTGCTGGGCACTTCTGTGACCCCATACTTGATCTTAAAAAGGGCAGGACTTTCCTCCCACCTGCATTTAACTACACTCAATTTCATTTTTAAAGGTACAGCACAGGGGCTGGGGAGATGGCTAAGTGGAATAAGTGCTTCTCTGGCGAGCGCAAGGGCGTGAGTTCAATCCCCCGTTCCACAAAAAAAATAAAAAAATAAATAAAGGTACAGCACACTAAGAAGATAACAATGTACAGTGTATTGACTATCAAAACTGTCCTATTAATCAGCTGTGAAACTGTCTCATTCATATTTATTTCTCAAAAAAAATAGTATAAAAAAAAGAAACTCAAAAAAATAAAATAAAATAAAATAAAATAAAATAAAGATACAGCAGTTGGACCAAAGCAGTTAGCAAAGGACACATTTCTTTGACAGTATATTCTCCTTGTTGCTCTCAGGATCAGAGTCCTTGAAATATACACAAGAGCCATGGCCAATCACTAGCAGAGATATAACAGCCAAGCTCACTGACGAAACAAAAACTGTTCCACAAATAGCCTGCTAGTGGCCTCTGGGTGAAAAATGCTAAACACTTTCAAGGTGAACAGATCAATCTGCCTGTCTACTGGTGACACCTGCAGAAGGGTTCTTTCAGCAAGCTTTTCATAAAAAAAAAAAAAAAAAAAAAAAAAAATCCTATCCACAAGCAAACATCATAGAAGCCATATTAAAGTAATTACACAGTTGGGAAAGTCTACTGGTATCAATTACTTTAAAAACCTTCCAGATGCAAGGAGTGCTCCTGTGCTGGGTGGCAGAACATGTGGGTATCCAACAAAGGACCGGGCAAAATCAGTCAGGAACTATGTCCCGGGCAAAAGCGGTGCTGAACAGTAAAAGCAGACAGGCCTTTGCGTGACAGCAATGCGCTCTTTCTAGCTGCTCAATAGAGGGGACAGGCCACAGACTCTTACAGAAGGAGCATGCTGTGATAGCCAACCTGAAGTAGCAGATTACCCATCACGCCACCGACAGGCACACCCTGGAAACCTACCAGGCGCCTGCCAGAGCTGCCCGCCATCCATCCCCGCATCAAGGCTAGGAATCAGGAGGAGCAATGGCCGTGACAGTTTAGTGCGTTCACTGCTTGAAAATCCTGTAAAGACAGATGGTGGCGGCTGGACAAGGACAGCAAATCATTTAATGCTGCCCTCAAAAAAGGTTACAAATGATAGATGTTGTGAGGTATTTACTACAACGTTTAAACAAGCACAGCCTAAAAAGGAAGCTGAGCTTCAGGAGAAACTGTCTTAAGAACATGGGTCACACCCACTAGTCTAGACACAGCCAGCTACCCCATCACTCAGAGCCCAACATCTTCACCGAGTCACACCTGTACCCTGTACCCGTACCCTACACTCTGCCCGGGAGCAAGCCTGAGACATGGTGCAAAGCCTAGAGCCGCTACGCTGTGTACTTACTGCTTGGCAAAACCAACTACAGTGTTCAATTCACGAACTATTCAATCTCTTTAGTAAAAACTGGGAGGGGGCTAAGATTTTAATATTGTATATGAAATATTTTCTCCTGACTATTTAAACTAATTTTTTAAATGTAAGAATTAAAGAATAATTGTAATTCTCAAGGTCACGGCATTATTTGTAGGATGCTCAGAGCTCGAGGAAGGATTCATATGCGCAATATATCACCACAGCGAGCTTCCTTCCTGCTGCACAGGGCTCTTGTATTTTTTTTTTCTTTATTACCTTTGAGGAACATTAATGTCTTTGGAAAATAGGCGGGTTATGCTAAGCCAGAGAGGCCCGTTACAAGCCATACCACCTCTCACACTGGAGGTGACTCTCTGCAGAGAAAAGGAACATAACACAGCTAGGTCTCGAATGCTTTGTACGGTGCTTTGGTCAAAGACACCAAATGCAAGAAACAAGGTAGTTCTGGGGGTAAAGGGCAGTGTTTCTTGCAGCGTTAAAGTTAGGACACCTGATTACACACTGAACTCCGGAAAAGGAATCCATAATTATATCTGTACAATTTCAGAAGCACATCGCCTAAACCACGTAATGTCACCAAGGTGTATCAAAAGTCACCTTAACCTCTTCCGCCTCCTTTTCCAACAGACATACATGAAGCTGGAACGTGAAAATCCTGCCCTAAATCTATGCCAAG